TAAAACTACTTTTGTGTTGATTTATGCTCGTCCTTCATCACATGTCTCCCTCTACAGGTAAAAAGTAGGTAATTGTACTCATTTTAATGGCTTGGAGTGAACTTTTACTTTCTGATGTCAAAAGCCAAAAGTCTTTTGCCTTGGGCTGCAAATCTTTATTTGCCTGAGGACTTCTAGGTGAGAATAAATGGATATAATCAAAACAGCTCTAAATATAAAGACCTGTCTAGTGAGAAGGGATACAATATTTTCTAATTTTCAGGTCTATGTAGAAAACCCCAATCTAGTGCTCAGAAATTAGTGGCCTTTAGTATTTCTTTTAGTTTCTCCAAAACATACACTTCTATGGTGGGTCTGAAGGCTAACCTAATTGGATGGATGACTTTGCAGAGGTGTGAGAAGGTCCCTGGACTTAGAAAAAGGAATCCTATGTGTATTCCTAACTCTGCCTCTAAGTAACGTTTTCTCTCACCAGGCCTCAGTATTCTCATCTTTAAAATAGAGAAGCTTAAATAAACGTTCTCTGACTTGCACTCTTATGTGAAAATTCTCAGTTTCAAAATACTTCCATAGAGCAATGGAAAATATGGAAATTAGCAACATTGAAAATTGGTATTGTGAAAACATGACAATGTTTCATGAGGCGGCTTTTCTTAAGTTAACATTAAACATGAAATGCTCAAAATGACTAATGTGCCCAAAGAGACATGACTATACTTCCCCCCCAAAACAGCACAATGCAGGTATGGCTTTGGCATCTCTCACTCTCTGCTGCCCTCTCATGTTTCAACACACCCTTTAGTTCTGTTATTCACTGCCTCGGGACCTGTGCAGGTGAGGCTGCTATAATGCAGGGGTTCCTACACATGCTGCCATGGCTGCTTGAAAACAAAATCATAAATGAAATGTACTGGAAAGCTGACACAGCATCAATGCCCTCCTCCTCTACTATATCAGTTTTTAAATTAACGTTAGGAACACAAGAAGTCAGGCACAGAGTAGGGTTGTAGGAAGAAACGAAGAAACACTTGGTGAGTTACTCAGAGCCTGCTGAGCTCTGCTCTTCATCCAACTTCTCTCCAACTCCTGCAACAGCACAGAGACCTAGAGACTCATATCTCCAGTCTTCAAATGAGCAGGTAAAGCAAATGAGATAGACGGGGTTTACACTCAAGCTCCAAACGGCACACACCATCTTTGTCCTAAATCACACTAAAGAACAAAATAGCTATTTAATAGTACGGCTCTGTTATGAATGTATTTATATTTGGAAGCTTTAATGTAAAAGAAGTTGTTAAATCATTCTACAGCTATGTATTTATCTGTTGTGCATGGAAAAAAAAACAAACTGTTGTGGGACTAAAATGCTTTAACCCTGATGATATACAATGAAACTTTCCTGGCTTTACACATGTCAAATGGAATAACCTCAATGGGGAAAAAAGGTATTCTAAGTGCCAAGGGATTGAAGCTTTAGAAAACAGACATATGTACATAGTCAACATTCTTCACTCTTCCTTTTAAAAAATCAAGGAGTTGGTCTATAGAGAAGTTATGGAGTTATTTTTTTCCTTCAAAGAGCTGTGACCCAAAAGTAAGTTGTTAAGTTTTGAAAATAATCCTGAACAATAGTTGGCCATCCATATCATAAAGACACCAGTGTTGGTGGCTGTGGTGAGAGGAAGGGACCCAGCGCTGGCAACAGTAGGAGGCCCCATTACGGACAGGCACACAGGAAGTGTTTCCATCTTGACCATTTGGGGCAGCGGCCTCCATAATTTTTACTCTTAGGACCCGCAATCTTGTCTTTCTCTCATTCTTCCCTGTATTTCTTCCATCTCTGATGTATTGAATGCTCACTCTGTGAAGCACGGAACTAAGTGCATCCCATCTGTGAACTCATTTAATTTAGCAACAACTGTAAGACATACAGTCACCAATTTATAAATGCGGAAACAGAGAAAGGGTGTGTAACCTGCCCAGGGCCACACAGCTATCATGATAGAGGTTGGTTTGAATTCTAGACGGGCAGAGCACTCACAGTGCACAATCTTCGGGCATCAGTGATGTTCCGTAAAGTTGCCCTCCAGGGGCACCCTGAACCTGGGTACCACAGCAGCCTTTTGGACCAGTCACGAACTTAACCCTATGCTACACTGTTCCTCTAGCCCCTAAACAAAATGTCTAAGAAGGCCAAGTTCATCTTAAGGGATGTCCTACTGGCTGTTTTTAACACCCTTCCCTGCCCTTCCCAGGACAAGTGCAAAGATAGAGCTGGGTTCCAACACCAGGGGCGTAACGTGGCGGTAGGACCTGAGCAGTCAGCTGCCGAGGGAAGGAGTTCACAAGCACCACCTTTTCTGTGTGTCTCAAGTCTCCCATCAAAGTCTCAGCCACTATTATTATCATTATTCATGTTTTCAGGAGTCCACGTTTTCAGAATGGGCTCAGACAGGGGAACCCTCCCCTGCTGTGGCCCTCATTCCTGCCCCCACCCCCATCTATCTTCCTTCCCACCTGGGTTTGCTACATTTGGGCACTTCCATTCTCCAGTCAGTTAATGCCTGTTGTGCTTTGTGATGAACACAGCTGGACTAGACAGCTAATGGCAGTTTATTGGCTTCCCTTCCTAGATCAGATATTTCTTTTTTAAAAAAAAATATATTTTATTGATTTTTTTACAGAGAGGAAGGGAGGAGGATAGAGAGTTAGAAACATCAATGAGAGAGAAACATCAATCAGCTGCCTCCTGCACACCCCCTACTGGGGATGTGCCTGCAACCAAGGTACATGACCTTGACCAGAATCAAGCCTGGGACCTTTCAGTTCACAGGCTGACGCTCTACCCACTGAGCCAAACCAGTTAGGGAGATCAGATATTTCTATAGTTCCACTGCCCCTAGACCAGGCCAGGAGCTTGTGGGTACAAATTAGGCCATATTGGCCTTAATTCCCAGATTTTAGTAACTCACAGTTTTAGTAATTCACAGTTACTAAATTGTAGTAACTCACAACGCCCTCTGGCATTGCTCCTGTGCCTCCATACCATGTAAACATTCCATGAGGTCTCTCACACGTGTTTAAAACCAAGTCTGTGCCCTTTGGAGTGCAGCTACTCTCCCTTTAACCAGTGCCAAGCAACTGCCAGGGCAGTGGACAGCTGACTCTACCATTAAGTGCCCACCACCTCTTGTTGGGCACAACAGTCTCCAATGCTACCTGCAGCTGCTCCTCTGGGAGGATGCTCCAGTGGGATGCCTCATGTGTGACCTCAAACTACAAAAGGTCTCAGGGACCAAAATAGCACTGCATTATGCTTATAACACAATGTTGGAGCCTTGCTTATTCCAAAAACAACAGGGGTGGGGAGGAGGGTTTGCCCCTCTTCGAACGGGTCAGAACTAGTGCCCAGAAGCAGCACCGGGGACAAGGTTCTATGTAGTGTCTCTCACTAGAGGCCCCAGGCACATGCTCACACAAGCCTAGCCTGCTCATCCCTTAACATAGATCATGGATAAAAACAAAGGGTCTAGTTCTAATATGACCTAATTTGTACCCACAAGCTCCTGGCCTGGGGCTTCGGGACAGTGGGACTATAGAAATATCTGATCGCCCTAACCAGTTTGGCTTAGTGGGTAGAGCGTCGGCCTGTGGACTGAAGGGTCCCAGGTTCGATTCTAGTCAAGGGCATGTACCTTGGTTGCAGGCACATCCCCAGTAGGGGGTGTACAGGAGGAAGTTGATCAAAATATCTGACCTAGTTCAAATGTAAGCTAACTGACATTTAATTTGGGTTTTTGAAGAAGAAATCTGTTACTCAAAGAATGTTAATACACAGGAATTTCAGTTATTGTTCATCTCTTGATGACTGTCAAGAACAACAGTGGTGAACCAGATGTCTACTACGAAATGACAGTTGAAAGTCATCACCAATAAAAATCTTGAAATAAACATGGAAAAGAAAACCAATAATTTAATATTCACTGAACACAAGTCTCATTCGAAAAGACATTCAGGAAAAACCAACTTTAATAAGTGCTTCAGAATGAACTCTGATGTAAAAATCACTAACAAGCCAGGTTGAAAAGTGCTGACCGGACACTCACTATAACTTAATAAGCTGCTCCTAAGCGTATTAAGAGTTGGAGTCCAAGGGAGACACTTGAAGCAAATGAAATATTGGTCTATTTTGGATAATATGTTAATTTTCTTCTGGTAACAATTTTAGAAAACATAGGTTTTCTTTCCTAGTCAATTATAATAATGAATCAATTGGGGTTTCAAGAAATGATTAAATGAATTCAATTCAATTTCAGGCTCAGTAAAATGAGACCATTTGTTCTGTTTCGGTTCAGTTGAGGTCAAGTCCCATGTCTAAAATAGACTAACAGGAATCGGGATAATTTTATTTTTCTGCCCTTGATGTCCCTCATACTTCTTTCCACTTTTCTTCCCCAACTTCTGCCCTGTTGATTCCATTGAACTTTTCTATATTGTATAATTCTTCTCACTCCTCCCAAACTGAATGTATTCTTAACTCTGTGGGTCCAAATCAGGGACCACTGGCAGGGTGTTCTTTCCTACACACAACTGGGTTAATGATGAACCAGCAGGGCACCTTTTATTTATGCTTTCACTTGCATTAGACCAAGCTACCAAATAGTAACATCACACTGACAACAAAAAACTGGCAACAACACGGCCAACATTTTGAAGGAAATGCTATATCTCAAAATATATATGCCCAGAGCAATGCTAAATGTAGTACAAACTCACGTTTAAACAGTTTAAAAAGCGGTATATCAGTGAAGATTTTCCAAGTAATAGTTCCAATGGACAGTTTGTGAGATCAATGAGAGAAATGATATATAGAGAATAAAGGATTAATTTCTTTAAAATTCTACAATTGCTGTATAAAATTGGTGTTAATATTATGTTGAATCTTGGGAAATATGGTTTCTTCCTCGACATGAGAAGAGTAAGCTCCAGATCTTTCTTACCTGTTATGGTGGCTTTGTTGATGGACGGTTGATTGCACATGGGTGATCTTCTGACAAAGAGAGAAAAACACAAAGCAGTCAATATGGGCTGTTGACTTGGTGACTCTCTGAGTCGTTCCAGATATGCCATTTTAACTTACAGGATTATTTTTGTTAGGACATGCAAATAAAGATTTCTCTTCAGACTAGCCAGTGGAGTGCCAAGGTGCCCTTTGACCTAGAGCTCAGATCACACATGTCCAAAAAAAAAAACCAAAACCCACCAGTTACATCTCATAGTTACAGACTTTGGGGTAAATAAAGCTGATGTAAATGTCACAGGCACATGATAGAAGAGGAAGTTCTTATTGGTTGACTGTATTCAATTATGCCAGGGCTCACAGAGCAAACACAGATTTTCTGAATATGAAAAAGCAGTCAATATACAATTGGTTTCCCTAATACAGTGTTAAAAAGTTTTTATTTTTGGCATTCATGTTTATGATTGCCTGTACATTATCAGAAGTCAATATACTCCTTGTAAACTATATCACAATTAGTGAAGCTACTTAAACTTTTTCCTTTCTATTTTCTTATATTGAGAAACATCTCTGATAATGTTTGTTAGAGAGCAATATGAATGATTCGTGCAAATAGGTGCCATAGAAACTTTAGAAATACTATAAACTAAATGTACTTAAGCAGATTCTATCTTGTATTCTCTAATTTTTTAGAACTTTGCCAAATTCCACAAGATGATTATGAATCCCTTAAGGTAATAAAATATCTGATTAGCCTGCATTCCCTACAGAGCCCAGTCTGATGTATGCAGTATTCAACCAGTGCTTAATAAATTATGTTGAAAAGAATAACAGTTATAGAATGTCCATTAAGTTTTTGAAACATAACTTTATAAAATTATTACATAAAACTGAAGCTTTCAAGCCTTGCTAGTGTGGTACAGTGGTTGAGCATTGACCCATGCACCAAGAGGTTGCTGGTTCGATTCCCGGTCAGGGCATATGCCCAGGTTGTGGGCTTGATCTCCCCATAGGGGGCATGGAGGAGGCAGCTGACTGATGTTTCTCTCTTATCAATATTTCTATTTCTCTCTCCCTCTCTGAAATTTATAATATATGTGTATATATGTGTGTATATAATATATATAACATATATATATATATATATATATATATATATATATATATATATATATATATATATTAGAGGTCCGATGATCAAAAATTTCTGCACTGGGGGGGGGGTCCCTCAGCCCAGCCTGTGCCCTCTCGCAGTCTGGGACCCCTCAGGGGATGTCCACCTGCTGACTTAGGCCCGCTCCCTGGGGAATCGGGCCGAAGCTGATAGTCAGACATTCCTCTGGCAGCCTGGGAGCCCTCGGGGGATGTCCACTTGCCAGTGGGGAGCAGGCCTAAGCTGCAGTCCTAAGCTAAGGAGGCGGGAGAGGCTCCCACCACCACCGTTGTGCTGGCAGCCATCATCCTGGCTTGTGGCTGAGCAGAGCTCCCCCTGTGGGAGCGCATTGACCACCAGGGGGCAGCTCCTGCATTGAGCATCTGCCCCCTGGTGGTCAGTGTGTGTCATAGTGACCAGTCATTCCCAGTCGTTCTGCTGTTAGGGTCAATTTGCATATTACCCTTTTATTATATAGACTATATATGTAATATATATATATATTTTAAATGAAGCTTTCAAAATATAGTTATCTTAATTTAAAAAAAAGATACATGTAAGAATGTCTGAAAAATTTTTGGTTGGTTTTTGGGAATTATTTTTTGTACTTCTGTTAGTGGTTAACACTTAATAAGCACTTAATGTGTGTCAGACACTGTGCTAAGTGAACACTTTGGAAGAATTACCTGGTTGTGAGGACATCAAACCTTAAAGCAATTAGTCTCATTGCTCCCATTGTACCAATGAGGAAAACAAAGCTGTGGGAAACTGAAAGGTTTGTTCAAAGAGCTGAGATGTGAACTACAGTGATACGACCTCAGAGCCTGCGCTCTGCTCTGCTGCCTTATTGTCAGGATGCTTCTGTGGAAGCTGGCCGAACAGCCACACGTCTGTGCGGGTGGCAGCCCCTGCAGAGCCCTGTTCCAATCTGCCTCCCTGAGAGGACAAAGCTCTAAGCAGGGCCGGGAGGTTTACGGGAAAGCAGTCTTGTGCTTCTGAAGTTCTCACTGCCCTGGTTCCAGACAGTGTCTGGCTCTGTTCTTAAGTTTACGCATGTCAGTTTGGGACTGAAATTTTGTGTTTGATTGAAAAGGCACCAAAATTTCTTTCTGAATTATTTTAGTTTTTATTACGCAATAATTAAAACTTGACTCATGCTTAATAAAACAGGAAAGTTAATATTTTAAACTACTACTCTGAAATAGTTCTGGTCTATATACTGTTATCATCTCACTGAAAGTTTGTTCAAATAATTTACATAGTGGTTACTCCTTTTTAGTTCTTGCTCTGTGGAAATTTAGAAAGCATTGATTTGGTCTAGAAAAGCTATCAAATGAATATTTTAAAACTTTTCTATAATTGTGGAAAACCAAGTCATTGATATGTTACTTGTTATCTTCTCTTAACATCAATTCTATAAATGGCACTTGGGAACTTGATATTTCAACAAGAAACGGCAAACAGAAAATGTTAATTGTTTGATCCATGGTTACAATGACAAGTCAATTATGAAAAATGAGTGAGAACTCACTTCTGGGATGAAAAATCTTCAGGAATCAGTGGGGGGTTAATAAAAGCCAGGCACGTGCACCTGAGTACCCAGGGGGTCAGGGCTTCACTCTTTCTTGATTCCTCTCTCGTAGCAAACAGAAAGGTGGAGTGTGCCAGGGAGCACCCGCCTTCCACAGAATTCCAGAGTGAGCTTGGAAGTATTTCAGCGCCTCTGTGTGTGCCCAGGGTCATCATGGGACAAGGCAGAGTGACATCCACTTTGCTATCACTGAACGGAACAGAGCTTAGCTGTGTGTAGTGAACTTTGCTATTCTGATGTCTAAGGAGGCTGATTTGGTTTGAATCAGTAAAAGAAATACAAATCTGCATTGACCAAAGAGAGACCACAAAGGCCGTCGCTGTGAGTTTGTCCGATAATATTGTTTGGTTAGATGTCATCCTGTAAGTCAATCAGGCATAAGCTAGGACTTTCCATCTTCTGCTGGCTGCTCTTTCCCGTTTTAATCTGTTCTGTCACTGCCAATCAGCTGAAAACTTGTGTCTTGCATAGAATGGAACTCGGGTCCCCTCCTTGGATACACAAGGCCAGGCTGATCCCTTCATTCTGTCTGACCTACTGTTTGCCTCCCACAGGTTTAGATGCTGGTACCCAAGTGACCACATCTGAAGGAAGTGTAACAGGAGTTATAAAGTTTCTTGTTTACCACTTAAAACAATTTTCTGGATAAAACTTAAGACGGAAAAGGATTGGGAGAGATACCAGTAACCCACTCCTCCTGCAGGGCTCAGACTTTCCAAAGAGGAGGTGGCTGAGCTCCCGAATGCCAAAGCCCCAAGGGTTCCTTGGAGTCAGCAAATTGTGCGTGGCCATGGGGCACAGAAGACCTGTGGCCGTGACTAAATACCTCCGAGCACAAGGTCAGGTCCCACGTACGGCGTCACCGCCTCGGTCTTCCCGACCACGAGCTCATGCAGAGTCATCACGCCGCGCCGAGCACTGGGCCAGGCACAGGGAATACAAGTGTGAGCCGCTACAACCCCTGTGGCTGGAGACTGGCATTCTAAGATCACCGAGTTTAGACAAGAAGCAGATGACTTGAGCACAGAGACATAGGAGCTGACATAGGAGGTGGGTACAGGACACGCTCACACAGAGACGGAAAGGCGTATCACTCAGTCTGGAGCCAGTGTGGGGAGGATGCCCCAAAAGAAATCATAATTAAGCTGTGACCTAGAGAATGAGTTACAATTAGCCCAGTGGATGAAGACGGGGAGAAGGAAGCCAGAAAAAATGTTCAGGCTGAGGGAACAGGGCTACGCAAATTCATTACCTAGAAAATAGGACCGTCAGCTGAAGCTTCTTAGTTCCATGCAATTATTTGGATTGAAGCATTTATACTGATTTCTAAGAAACCTTTTCATACCAAAGGAAATGGGTGCACAATAGCTAGAGCTTTTCTTTAAAAGAAACAACAACAAACAAAACCATGAAAAATGTGAATTTGGGAGGTCAATTTTATTATCATGGGATGAAAAGTTCAGATTTTTGTGCTTTTTAAGAAGTAGTAGCTACTATGAAATCTTATACACTTAGATAAATAATTCCAAACAAATTTCTACTTATTGTTCTCCTAATATTGATTTAAAGAAATGTTTTTTTTTTCCTGGCAATTGACTAGAGTTGATATTTTAATAACATTTTATTATTAGTAATAGATTGTCAAAATAATGACTATTTGAATAATTAACCAGTTTTCTATTTAATCTTAGAAAATTAATTTTCTCTTTTTAAATATTTCAATATTAGACCCCCCCCACACACATAATCATTTCCTATCTCAGCTTCCCTTTTTTCAAATGCTTCCCCTGTTATCACAGAAATTACAATTCTATTAATTGCTCCATGATGTGGCTGATCTGAGGGTTGGTAACAGGTGGCAGAAAAATCAACCATGTTTGCTATACTACGATGCTTCCCTCAGTAATCACTGACTTAGAAGTAGGAGGATGACTTTGGATTGGCATTAGGCTTGATGAGATGATTTGTCCGTGGTTAATTTATGAAGCAAGCCAAAACTATAAAGTTACCCTGAGTGTAAATAACTGGGTGGGGGACTGATATTGCCAGGTGATTTCTGACAGGTGGAATCACCATATTTATTTGACATATTGCTTCAGTGCTGATATTATAACCGTCACTACAAAGTATTTATAGAAAATTAACAGCGCATCATATGACTTAGTGTAAATGGCTGGACAACAAGGCAAGGACTCAGAGAAATCTAATATATTGCCTCGAGTTCAATGAAACTGAGAAACAACACTGTATACAAGTTCAGGGTGAAGGACGGAAAGCAAAGGGTGACTTACTTGCTAGGTGCTCGATCTTGCATATTAGTTAATGCAGCAAAGTTGTTCCGTACAGTTCGCAGGCTGGCCAAGACCTAAGATAAAAGAAAAAAAAGATCCTTTAAACTTCTTGAAGTAGGGCCATCTTTCATGCAATTTAAAATGGTTTGGCAATTTAGCAAAATGGTTTGTTAAGTGAAAACTTGATATTGCTTGAAACTTAGTGTCATGTTATATTAGTAAAGAATCTCCATGTACTTAGTAAAGTTTACATGAGTCTGTGAAACCTAAGAGGCCAGGCGGAAAGGATTTTCCAGCTACTTCTCCTCGTGGTCTGTGAACATGGGGACAGTCGCAGCAGTGTCCACGGCCACCAACACAATATCCCAAGCGAAATGCATATAGCATGATTGCATTTTTATGTAAATTTGAAACCGTGTAATAGAAAATATGACTAAAGTCTCACTTTAGAGGTAAAATTTAAAAAGATTACCCTCAAATTCTCTTCAGAAACTCACCAAGGATGTCATAGTTTCAAAGTCAACAACTAGGTGAATTTAAAAATGTTTTTTTTCACCTTTGCTACATGGCTAGTCTAGCTAGTAAACAGAAATTCTTTTCTTTGTTAAGATTATTTGAATCATGAATTATAAGGTATTCAGGGAGGCTTTGCTCACATAAAATCAGGCCACCATGTTATGTGCACAGCGCCTGGCCCACAGAAGACACTCAATAAAATTTTGTTTAATAAATGCACAACATATCCACACCGAAGGCAGGACCAATGGGTTCCACTATCTCAGAATTTTTTCTTGAAATTCAGTGAAACTAGAAAGTGGAAAAGAATCGGAAATGAGACTTCGAAAGGTTACAAGCGCTCCTTACTTTCTCCTAGAATGGGCAAGTTTTCTCCAGGGTGAAGCTCGTATTAGGCGAGATTACAGGACCGTGGTCGGCAAACGGCGGCTTGCGAGCCACATGCGGCTCTTTGGCCCCTTGAGTGTGGCTCTTCCTAAGCCTTAGGAATACCCTAATTAGGTTAATAACAATGTACCTACCTATATAGTTTAAGTTTAAAAAATTTGGCTCTCAAAAGAAATTTCAATCGTTGTGCTGTTGATATTTGGCTCTGTTGACTAATGAGTTTGCCGACCGCTGTATAGGCAATCTGGGTGACAACCAGAATGTTCAATGATCTAAAACACAGATTACAAATATCCTGTTAGGTACTACATAAGAGCTCAGACAGCGGAGTCTGCTATGTTTCCAATGTGTGAACTTAGAAAAGTCACATAACTTCTCTGTAGCTCAGTGTCCTCACCTATAAACTGGAATAGTAATACAGTATCTATCTCAAAATGTTGTGAAGACGATATGGAATGACAAGTTAGGTGCCAAGAACAATGCCTGGCAAAGGGAAGTACTCCGTGAATATTCACTCATTTTAGCAACATTCCATTTGATTAATGATTTGGTCTGAGCACAGGGAATTACAAATGCCTGTGATTGATAATATAAATTGATAATATATATATAATTTATACAAATATAATATGTCTAATTTATATAAATATTGTACTTATATTAAAGTAAATTTATAATTGCTCCAAGGTTTCCAGAACTGTTTTCAGATTTTTTTCTTCCCATTTGGCCTGGACCTAAACAAAAGTCAGTCTGAATGCTTTCTAAGAAATTCTAAAAAATGAGATATTTTTTGAAGTTGGCATGAATTTGTGGAGGTCACGGGGTGCTGTTTATGCCCTGGGACAGTGACCTTCAGCACCAGCCCCCAAAGGAGTTAATGGTGCTTCCTAAGGTGCCAACCACGATTAACTCAGTCACTGGAAAAACCTGGCTCATTATCACATGTAAACAACTCTCAGCACGGAAAGGTCATGCTGCCTGTGACAGCGTATTCAAATAGCCTACCGCTGACATCGGACCTAATGATGACTTTCATTAGGCATGAAATCTTGAATGATGCAGAAATGAATCCAATAAATCATCCCCTGCCACTAAATCATGCAGGCTTAATTTATGCTTTAAGAATGGAATATCAAATACATTAATAAAACACTTTAAATAAGATTATTGCACTCCTTAATCAATCCTTTCTCTAGGCAAAACTTTAACCTCAGAATTCTGAGAATTTTAATCTAATAAATTATACTAAGTGCACTACATTTGACAGCTGGGTAAATAGAAATTATACCGCAGGTAATTCATGTTCTATGCTCATTTGAAAGAAAATATTGTCACAAAAGATATTCTACAATTGGCTTTTGGTATAAAGGCTTTTGACTCTGTCATAACAACTATATTACATTACATTACTTTGTTTTGGTTTTAAATTTAATGTATTTATTTTTGTATGATTTATATCTTCAGGTGATGCAGAATTTAAACAGAAAAGGGCAAAAAGTAAAATGTCTTCCTCTCAATAACAAAGACAAATTTCAAAATTATTGTTATTTCTGAGAGGAGGCAAGAAGATGAAATTGGGGAGGAATACTCCAGGACGTTAAAATATTGGGACTGTTCTATTTCTTAAAGTGTTGATTTTTGGTATTATTCTTTATATTTTTAGATACTCTCTACGTATGTTCTCTCATATGTATATGTCAAAATAAAAGGTGGACAAAGACATTTCCCTCTCAGTCCCTCCTCTAGACATTCCGCTGTCTGTCCCCTAGACTACTTGGCTTTTAGGCTGTTTCCTAAATTTTTCCTTTGCAAACATTGCTGCAGTAAATAGCCTTGTAAATACATCATCCTCTACGTGTGCAAGTACTAGGTCATTGTTTTTGTGGAAGGACAAATAATATTCTATAAATTTTATATTACTCTTATCTTCCACACGATGACACATAATACTGGCAGAAGTGAAAAGAAAAATCCCAGACAAATCTTAAATCTTTGACTCTAGGTATCCCCATCGCAAATGCACTGTGTTAATCTTTTTTGTTGTTGTTAATCCTCACCCAAAGATATTTTTCCTTTTTTTTTTTATAGAGTGTGGAAGGGAAGGAGGGAGGGAGGGGGAGGGAGAGAGAGGGAGGGGATCAAACCCTGAAACCCAGGTATGTGCCCTTGACCAGGAATCGAACCCATGACCCTTTGGTCTGCAGGCCGAGACTCTAACAACTGAGCAAACCAGCCAGGGCCACTATTTTGGTCTTGTATAATCTCATTTGCATTGCAGAACCAAAAAGTGAGGCATCTGCTACTCTAGGCTGTAGGGGAGAACTAGAAACAGTTTGACTCAAGACACTGAGTTAGGGTCCAATTAGTTTTTGCTTCTGTTCTGGGGCAGGTCTCATTCCCCTTGAATTCAACTCCTTAGGAACTGCTGTCAGAGCTTCAATGCTCCGAATACTGGTTAACCAAAAAAGTCCCTACGGCTTTCTCTCACACAGCTTAATGGCTAAAAAATTAAGGTCATTTCTTTCTCTTCCGTCCATCCAAGCAAAAGTGTAATAAATCAAGGTAAAAAATACACTGGCAATGGTGAGAAATATACACACTTTGGGAAAGAAATTATAGTAGTGTTATGGAAAACTTAAACATAAAGATGGATCATGTACTAGCCCAGGAAAGGGTTTAAATGTTATTTATGCAACTCAGGTTTTCTTAGGTACTTCTGAACATTCGCCGAAAACAGCAGGAAATGTGGGCTTCCTTAAAAAGTTAAACAACTGAACATAACAGCTTAAAAGAAATGTATACTTGAATAACAATAATTTATTGAAAATATTCAGAAATTTATTTTCCTTTTCTTTTTTTTAAAGATACGGCAACAATGTTACAAAAAATCCTGCCTAAAAAAATAACAAAGAAATGATTTTTGAGAATTGTGTTTTTCATTCCAACTACTCTTTATACCACTAGATGGCGCTAAAACACAGACCATGTGTTGCCACTGGCCTTGGGGGAAGTGGGAGGGAGAATACCTTGCCTTGACCTCCAGGAAAAAAACAAAACTGGAGTCAAATTATGGTTATTTATAAGATAGAAAGGTCATTTTGATAGAAAATAAAACCTTTTTCCAAATTATGTGCTGGTCAAACCATACAAAATTGCTGTTTTTGTATGTCAACAAATATTGATTTATAGATTCCTAGAAGATGCTAGCTGCGATTTTATTTTTAAATGAAGGATACAGAAAAACTAACAGATAGAAGCAACTGAAATGTGATAATTATCTTCTTTCACAGCCTGGCAGGGTGAGCCTGGTGGATTTAGCGAGTGGGGGACTGTGATGAGGCCACAGCATGGCTGCTGCTCCGTGAAACAGGGATCATGCAGGGGCATTAAAAACATTGGCAATGTTCTGTGACCAATGGAAGAGTAATCTTCCATAGGGCTGACAACTACTATATTTTAATAAAATTATCTGAGCTGCTTTATTTTGGTTAGAGTAAAGGTAAAATGACTCAGTTGTTCCTACTCTGGATTTTGAAATCAGTCATATCTCCTTAGTTTGCATGATGTGAGGGTCTAGCCAGGATCCAAGATCATATTTGGGTATTTTCTGTCTTTTCCTTGATCAAAGATACCACTTGTTTTTTTTTTTCTAAAATAGTTTGACTGATTTCAGAGAGGAAGGGAAAGGGAGAGCGAGAAACATCAATGATGAGAGAGAATCCTTGATCAGTTACCTCCTGCACACCCTACACTGGGGATCAAGCAGCAACCGGGGATGTGCTCTGACTGGGAATCGAACTGTGACCTCCTAACTTATAAGTCAACACTCAGCCACTGAGCCTTGTCAGCTGGGCTACCACTTCTTTTTAACTTCCAGATGAGAATTCCAGTTGACTTCGAGTTTTACGAGGTAGACATAACGAATAATGGGACTGGTGGGTCCAGAGGCAGCTGACTACAAAGTAGGGTTTCCTGCATTTCATCAGTGTTGTGCTTCCTTGCCCCTGCAAGAACTTTGGCCAAATTGTTCCTGCACTCTTGGGAGAAAGATGCCAGTTGCCAAGTGGTAGGACATGGCGTGGCTTTGGGATTCTTCTCAATATTTAGCCTTCGTGCCTAAGGAAATCCCCACACCAAAGATTTTAGCATGAACATAGGAGAATATTTCAAAATAGAAATAAACCCAATGTTTAAAGCTGTCACTTCTTCTGAAGATAAAGAGGATGCTGAGCTTACAAGGGAATAACATAATAAATTGAGAGTGGAAGAGAGTATAGTTTAAACACACCAGCAAGAATTTCTAACCCTGGCAGTGTTGTGGACATGGGAGGGTTACTGTAGGATCCTTTCTGACGATGATGTCCATTCAAGATGATTTGGGCTTCAGCCCTGTCCATGAACATGGGATATATCCTTGCATGACTTCCTAAATTCTCCTATAATTTAATAGTTTATTCTCTTAGCATCACAGGAAACCACAACTGGAGGAAAAATGGAGGGATCCTTTTGTGTTTTGGAGACACACTCAGGCATAGAAGAAATGAGTTCTAAAGAACAACAGAAGATGAAATGGGTTTGGGAGAAGACCTTTGTCCATGTTAGATAGTGGGAGGCTCATTTTAAAGACTTAGGGTAAAGCCCTGGTGGGTGGTCCAGTGGTTGGAGCATTAACCTATGCACTGAAGGGTCTCCGTTCGATTCCTGTTCAAGGACACATACCTCAATTGGGGCTCCTGTGGGAGGCAACTGATCCATGTGTCTCTCTCACATTGATCTCTCTCTCTCAATCTCTCTCTTTTTCTCTCTCCCCCTTCCTTCCTCCCTCCCTTCCACTCTTTCTCTGAAAAGCAATGGGAAAAGTATCCTTGGGTAACGGTTAACAAACAAATAACAACAAAAAGAATTATGGTAAAGAAAATATGCACAGAAAAATAAGCCTAAAGAGATATATAAAAAAAAATGTCAATACTAGCTATTTTGGTGTTTGGAATTACAGGAAATTATCTTTTCTTCCTTTTGCTTATCTATCTTTTCTATAGTCTCTATGCAAAAATAGATTATTTTGAAGGTAGAAGAATTTAGGATGACATTCCAAACCCCAAAGCATGCTGGGGAAAGCGGAGAATTCTTTGGTCTATTTGAACATGTCTCTGAGAGACTTGCCTAACATCAACTGTCTTCTGTCCATTGGCAAAAGCACTGTGGTATATTAGGCTGAATAATAATGGTATCACCTCAAGTGACATAAACATCTTATATTTTTAAGCATAATAATATTTAGCATTCAATGGTGACTATTCTATCTTGTATTGAAAATTTGAGGAGTTATTGGGTAGGTCCACAAAATAAGGTGGTTGTGCCTAATAGGGCTTAAGATAAGACTGCTACTAACCCTTCTTTCTTATCTGGTTTCCCAAAGATGCTCTATTAGTGGTGAAATTGGTCAGGGTTTTTAATATGCTTTTTTTAAAAAAAAAAATTCTACTGGAACTTTATAGACCACATATCCTAGAAAATTCCATTTGCGAAAACTATGTTGAAACCACTTAAAAAGAATCTGCAGCCTTTGGGGCAATGGCCACCTTCTTCAAGGTGATATGAGTCATCAAGCTAATCATAAGCAAACTCTTCTAAATGCATTCCAGATTCCTTTCGGGCATCAGATATGCCTATATATTACCAAGTTGGTTTATCTTTAAAGTTCTAATTTCTGAGGGTGTTAAGTACACATATTTATTTAAACAGTTTACTAGCACAGACTAAGTGGTATTTTACACACATATATATTTCTCAGTGTACTGAAATTCTACTAGTTTTTTAGAAATTATAGAGGTACACTATACGAAAAATCTGATTATTTAAAAGAGGAGATTTCCTTAGAATTTAAGAGCACTAATGATAAAGACCAAGTCAAATTTATTAATATATATATATTAGAAATTAATAAATACTACTTGAAGCAAGAAGGTATCATGTGCAAAATATTTTTTCATTTTTTCATATATTTAGCTATATTCTTCTTATAACAATATCTAGAGATTTTAGTTAGAAGCAAGAATAGCTACCTGAGTAATCTCGGGTTGGGAGATTGTTTCTATATTTGGTGATGGTTATTTATATATTTTGCCTGATTATGTTTTCACTCAGTTCTCAGCTCTTAGAAAAAATTATGGGTTCTCATTAATAAGCAATTAAAAATATTTAATTTTCAATAATTTTGCTATCACAAAACATGATTAAAACATGTGAGCATACATTATTTTGAATATAGAAATATAGTTACTAGAAATAATTTATGATATCCAGTGAAACCTTAAGCAAACAAGACACGAACTGTCTGAAAAGGGCGGTGGTTTTATTGTACTTTTAACTGCCTTCATTAATTTAAAAAAATTACTATTATACAGTTGTATTATTTATGGATTCATTAAATGTTTCATCTAAATTATAACCATTAAAAATTTCAGAAAACTTGAAAAAGTGAAAGAATTATACATAATTCTACTATCCAAACATTGTCATTAATCGTTTTTTAAAACAACACCTAGTGTGACATTTTATAAGTGAAAAAGCCCTTACCGACAACACTAAACATTCATTAAGCATTTTGTTTTATAGAAGTGATGCTACTTTACAAGCCTGGTATTATTTCAATCTCTTAACAACCCCAGGAGGTGGGTGCTCTTGGCACTGTCATTTAGGAGGAAACCCCGCTTGGAAGAATTCAGTGACTGGCCCAAGGCCATTCATTTAGCAGGAGGAGGAGATGGGGTTTGAACTCGGGCTTATCATTATACAGCATTTCCCTCCAATTTTACCAACTGGAAAAAAGAAGTCTTAGAGAAGTTTAATTAGTTGCCCAAGGCACTAGAGCTAGTCTGACATGATTATTTTTTTATAATCTCTCTGGATTACCCATATTCCAATATTTAACATTTCTTGTTAACAGTCCGCGTCGGCTTGAAACCTGTCTCACGCCCCAAGTTAAATCAGTTTTACTCCATTCTGTCCTAAGTCTGCCTACACCAGAGGCTCTCATCTTTTTCTGGAAAAATACTGGGCCCAGATTTTTGAATTCAATTGATCAGGGATGCAGCCTAGAATAAAAGCTTTCTAGGTGATTCTAGTGTGTAGCTATGGTTGAGGAGCACTGGTCTATGTAAAAAAAAATATCTGGTCATCAACCATTTTATATATATTTCAAAATGCTTTAGATCAGTGGTTCTCAACCTTCGGCCCTTTAAATACAGTTCCTCATGTTGTGATCCAACCATAAAATTATTTTCATTGCTACTTCATAACTGTAATGTTGCTACTGTTATGAATCATAATGTAAATATCTGATATGCAGGATGATCTTAGGTGACCCCTGTGAAAGGGTCGTTCGACCTCCAAAGGGGTCGCGACCCACAGGTTGAGAACCGCTGCTTTAGATCATTTTATCACCTTCTAGTATTTGTGTCACGTGGTTAAAGTATTTTCATGATGTGTATATTTAAAAGGAACAAAGAAATACAAATACATCATTCAGTTAAATCTTTGTACAAATGACATGTAAAAAATGGAGCACATAAAGCATGAGGCTGAATTGGAATATTCAATGTCAAGCACTGATCATGTACCTAATTATACTGAATGTAATTTAATCCATGATATGGCCTTCTGCTCCTAGTGCTCTGTCCCTTAAGAAAGCATGGTCCCATTTAAATGTCACTTAGGTAATCTGTGATTTGGAGCAAAGAACTCTTCAGGTGTATGGGTTTAGAGGAAACGCACCAATATGGCCAAGGTCACATTTTCTAGAACTGCCTTCGACTTACTTGAATGAACCATAGAATTTGTATTTGTACTTGTGTTTGAAAATGAAGAACCAGAACTAATCCCCCAAATTAAATTTCCAATGAGAAAACTGCCCATGCACCAAACTGTGCTTACCTGAGCAAATGGAGTCACAATCAAGTCATCTCCGTGTCTGGAAAATAAAGCAAATCCAGTGTTAGAGGTTATCGACTAACTCTTTGGCCACTTTTGATCAATGTCCAACGGTAAGGTCCACTTTCCTAAATTCCCATAGAGAATTACAGTAATTCCATCCTTACTCTTCAGCACAAGCTCTTCCCAGCCACTGGGATGAAAGCATGTCTCCTGGGACGCTAACTATTGTTCAGTTTCCTGGGTAAGAAGGGGAGCTTCTTGGCCATCAGCCAAGGTCACTGTTGCTTATTAAAGAAGCACACAGGATACGCATTAGTAGAAACAGAGTTCAAGCAGCGGGGCCTGAGTTTTGCTCTTGGCCCCTCCCTGTGGATACCAGGAAAGGGTGCTGTGGAAGGAGCTAGCAACGGCAGTGGCTTTGGTGAGAGGCCCCTGGTCCATCTACCATGTGAAGGTGATGAGCCTTGCGTGTTCCGCATCATGGTGTGTGAGTCTTGGATGGGCTGGGAACTGTAGATGACACGGGACTGCATCATACCCTAATAAAAACCCAGTGCAACTTTTCAACTGACTCACGTCCCAGCCGCTGTAATTACGGGGGAATGTTACCCCGTGTGTGCTGTTGCTGCAGCAACCCCCGCCACACTGTGCCTGGGATGCAAGAGCAAGGTGTCAGCATGACGTGTCCCAGAGGGACAGGGAAAGGCAAGGAAAGTTGTGCAACTCGGAGGGAAGTGTGAAACCAGGGCCCAGAGCCCTTTTGTGGTATTGCTTAGCATGATAATTTGTGAGAAGGATTTCCAAAATCTCCATGGGACAGTTCTTGACCTGGCTCGCTGAAGCTCTTTAATCCAAAGTGAAGGCAGTTATTCGACACAGAAAGCTGGACATGACCCTGACTTAGAGCCCTGCAACCGAACCGTTCAGTCACTCATGAACTCTGAGAAGGTCCTAAGTGACCTACAACAGCTCTCAGGACGTCAGCTTCAGCGTACGGGTGACGTTAGTAAACGGCTCATTACCAATAATTGGACCAGTTGTTATGATCGTCATCAAATTACACAGAGATCCTGAAATTCAGAGTGTGGGAAAATTAAAAGCAGAAAAAGGTTGGAACACAATTTAAAGGAAACCGTGTTATTTTGCACCCCCTTAGTTTCAGAATTAACATTTTTTGAGGGGCACCTGTTCTTTGTAGAGTTTATTCAGATAGTCAAAACTAAGATAACATGAAATCTAGATATTTTCCCAAGGTACATTGTTTTCTTCCATTTTATTCTTTGCAATTGCCCGACTGCAAAGTTTATTGTCTAAGAACTAAGTCATCTTGACCAAGGCACATCACCCATGGGGATTAATCTCTGGAAATAAGTTTTCTAATTTTTTACATGAATAACATTGGTTTGAATCACTCCAAGCCCAAAGGGTGTGAATGTCTTTTAAAACACTTAATTCTGCCTTTGGTTGCATTTCATTCCCCAGCACTATAGATGTATTTAGAATATATAATATTTAAAATAATTTATCAGTCTTGCTTTCTTTCTCTGTCAAAGTACATAGACAGTTATAACTTTAATGACGAAGACATTTTACTCTTTTGAATTACCCAGAAATTACTTGATTGTCTCATTTTAGTAACAGTAAAATTATTTCTAGCATTTCAGTGACAAATATTCTCGTTAAAGGGCAGGTTATATACTATAATCCCTTTCTTCTCAAAATTATGTAATGCTTACATTATCTTTGAATATGTACTGAATATATAATTTTAAAATCTTTGCCTGAGTCTGCACCTTAATATTAAGATGTCTTATCAGGTCCCCTGTCACAAGTACAATAATGCATGTAAAATATATATTATTTTGATATGGAAGAAAACAAATATAAGCATATTTTAATTGTATCCTATATTAGGATAGAATTAAAATTTGCTTATAATAAAATAACAGATTTGGCAGTTAAGATTCATAGAAGATCATTCTGTTATTGTATATAATTTGGCTTAAAGTATGTGTGAGTTTTAATGAATTGAGTAAATATACACACCAAAAAAACTTATGATAGAAAATGACTCTGAAATGCTGCACTTTATTGCTGCTTCCTAAAATGGGAAGAGACTGTTAGGAACTCCTATAATTGGGGAGACGCTAGATTCAAATTTGCACAATGATCATTGCCGAGAGACCTGAAATTGTACTTCCTGGTGACATGACTTTTCTGGAGAAGATTAAACAACATTGTCTTCCATTTAAATGAAAACAAACAAGCATAACAACAACAAACTTTTAAAAAAACCAACTGGGGTATGCTTTAGGAAAAAATTGCTTCTTTTAAGAAGTGGAGTACTTATGGGTGACAGGAAGGGAAAGTTAGGGTGGGCGGTGGGATCATAAATAAAGCTTTGACATTATCTGTCTGTCTCTATGTGTGTGAGAGTATGCATGTTAATGTGTGTATGTGTGCATCTATGTGTGCATACACATGCATGTCAATGCATGCATGCATGTGCACGTTAATGCATGTATGTGGTGTGTATGAGTGTGTGGACATATGTGATGAGGAAATTGGTACTCTGGTAACAGTCACAGCAGAGTCAGTGCCATGCCGATCTCTAGTCTCACGTGTGGAAGGAGGTGCTTAGTCACCTGCCCTGGTTCCCATGTCACCTCCTCCAGCCTGGGTTTGAGGGGTGCTGCTTCTCCCCTACGCTCAGCAAGAAGAACCTGAATTACCCAGAAGTTGTGTTTGGCAAATACATCAATCGTCTCATTTTGGTAACAGTAAGATTATTTCTAGCATTTCAGTGGCAAATTTCTCAATAAAAGGCAGGTTACGCACTATGTCCTTTTCTTGCCGACTTCTTGCTGAGTGAGTCTGAGCCAGCACCACTGGAAGTAGGGGCATAGAAGGCTTCCAGCACGCTATTGAATTTTCTGTTTTTCCAAAGTGGAATGACCCTGCAGTCAAGAATGACCCTCTGCCTTTGGCCATCCTTCTCCTATTTGCATATCACCTATGACTCTATTTTTCTATCCTGATTCTTTCTGCATGAAGAAGCCAGAAACGTTGGGAAAAACAAAAGGAGGGACATCCAACAGCAAACCCTCTTACAGGGACCTCATTGGGACCCAGAAACCTTTCCCTGCTTTATCATCACCAAACCAGAAGGAAAAGGAGATGCAATTAATTAGCAGAAAGTTTACACGTTACTGAGCAAAGAACCCCAAGCCTGTGATACTAAGAGCATTAGTGGCACAGAGTAGCTGCTGCCTCTGAACATCACGCATCACAAATTCCAGCATGACACGTGGTCTTATGAACCAGCGCGCTGAAGAGGAGCCGCGGGCTGAGGCTTACTTTCTAAGTCCAATCTTGAGAACACTTTTTGATCTTCTGTGCTGCATCCTATTGCTATAAAATTAGAAAGAAGTTCGCCTCTGAGTTTGTCAATAGGATTAGGGAATTGGCAAACATACGGAAAATTGGTATTTTGAAATCCTGATATCTTTCTTTCCTTAGACTCAAAACTATCACCCATTTATTAATTCACCCTTGATCTACCCCTTTTAGAATTATAGGGAAAGAAGTAGGTTCTCATTTTTGATATGTACATACAAATGTTTCCAGGTGCCTAAGCTATTTGACAACACCCAAGGATTAGCCATACCTACTCACCAGTCTCCACTCCCCTGTTCACTGAAGTACAGACCTGAAATAAACAAATACCTAACATAATGTACTATGAATCTAAATCTGCTCTAAAAAGGAAAGTCTTAAAAAATTAAAAACCAAAAAATCATATAACTTTAGAAGTAGATATGACCTTAGAAGTTATTAAGTCTTCTGAAATTTAAATAATTTGCTCACTTCTTATTAGCAATTTAAAAATTAAAGACTGGCCTGATATTGGCCAACAAAAATCCTAAAACAAGACCCCTGAATTTTGGCCCACGTGTGCTTATATCACATATACCGATGATAAAGGAAATGAAATCGGAGTTAATGCAACATAAGCAAAAAATGCTCTAATCTAAAGTATAATCTGTTCTTTACTTGTCATAAAATAAAAATTTAGGCTTTGTTAGAGAAGGTTTATGATGTCCATAAGTGCCCTCAAGCGTGTCAGTTATATGATGGCATGAAAGACAAATTGTTTTCAAAAGTATCTATAAAAATATTTTCTAATTTCAAAAAGAATCTAATGAACAAAATAAACTGATGAACAAACAGGGACCACGGAGTGAGGTTTTAAAAAAGCTAAGTTCTTTTGAAAAACTCTTTCATTCTGAGAATATACCCTTTATTTTTTACTTCTAAAGTGATTGTGTATGTTGATGGAAATTTTCTTGTTAGAATCCTTTACTTACAAAGTGAGCAGTTAGTAACCCCAGCTCAGTCTCCCGGATAAAGACTTACTGAGTCATGAAATCCTAAGGCATGGAAATGTGCAGTGCAGCTGGGTTTATATGCAGGCTTTACAACACTGTAGTTTCCACCACTTCATGCTGCTTTCTGCACCCTCACATGGATTCAGCTATGCTGAAGCCACAGAGCCATACATATTCTAGACTCTGAAACAGCACTGCCCACAGAAATTTCTGCAATGATGGAAACACTCCATCATGCAATACATTATCCTCTAGCCACATGCGGCCCCTTAGCACTTGAATGTGGCTGGTGCAACTGAAGAACTGTTTTTTTCTTTTTTAATGTTAATTCATTTACATTAAGAAGCCACTATGACTAATGGCGATCTTGTTGAGCTGCACAGCTCTTGAGCAATCTTTACAAAACTTCAGTTAGATCGCTTCCAAGAAAAGACGGTATTAAAAATAATAATAAAAATAACCCCCAAAGCGTGCAGTCAACACATGACATCAACTCCATGATTTCATGTAAGAGTTCTTTTTATCAACTGCCTTCTTTTCAGCTTCTGTAAAAATATATTCACAACTGAAAATAGCCACGATTAGATGAAAATTTTATTTTAATGTATTTAAAAAAATCACCCAAGGGACCTTTAGGTAACATGTAAAT